CCTAAGTTTTTTCCTGCGTCCACATTGGTGGCTCATGCTTACCTATAACTCCAGTTTCTGGGGATCAGACACCCTCTTCTGGCCTCCATGGGTAACTGTATTTATTGACACACACCCACACATATGCACATAATTGCAGAAAATAAAAACAGAAAAAAAAAAAAAAAAAGCCTTAAAAGTGTTGTGCAAAGGCAACTAGACATCTAAATGAATCCCCATGGGTTTCTCCCCATTATGTGCCATGCTTGATTCTTCAGTTTCTAGCTTTAACATCACCATCTTCCTTTCCCTCGATTCTGAAGTCTAGTGGACACTTCTGGAAAACATTCAGAAGTGTCCTGCCCACATCAACACTGCTCCCTCAGAGGTCACATTGCAAAATGTCGTAGGAACATTTCTTGTCTCATCTCTTAAGACAATGTTGTTAGGATGGTCGCTCCTCTTCTTGCCAAATAAGGAATCAATAATCTTTCTAACTACTAGATAGAAAAAAATGTTTAGCTGCTTAAAAAAAAAAAAAATAATAATCCCTGGGCTGTGGTGGTCCATGCCTTTAATCCCAGCACTTGGGAGGCAGAGACAGGTGGATCTCTGTGAGCTGGAGGCCAGCCTGGTCTACAGTGGGAGTTCCATAACAGGCCCCAAAGCTACACAGAGAAAATCCTGTCTCCAAAAGCCAAAAGAAAAAAATAAAGTTTTTCTTAAATCATTGGTGGCTTCAATAGACTAGTGAACTGGCTCAGCAGCCATGGAATGCTAGAAGAGGCACAGTCCTGAGGCTAACTCTCCTTGTTTTTCCTCTGGGACCAAAAGAATCACAGAAAGGTGAGATCACTTGCTTCAGCAGCCACAGCTCATGTCTTTAGCCATGGTTAAGATCTAAATTTCTCACATCCAAATAATTACATCTTACCAAATCTCATTAGTTTATATTAACTTAGAGCAGGAAGTAAAATTCCTATGCTATGCAATAACAACAGCATTTCTCATACTCAGCACTGGTATTTTTGAACCAGTTTGCTGAGGGCAGGACTTCCTGTGTATCATGGTATGGTAAGCGGACTCCTAATACCTACCTAGTAGATGCCAGTGTCAGCCCCTCTTCTTCATTGCAATAAAGCAGGCATCGTCAAACACCCAGGAGGTAGACTGGGGGAGTACTATTGCTACTAAGTTATAGCAGGTGCCTTCCCTGGTCTATGGATTAGTCCTGATCCACATGCTACCACCTCCCCCCACCTCCACCCCATAACTCCAGAACAGGTGCTTCAGAAACCAGTATGACCTACCCCAAGGGCCTCCTTCCAAGAATTTCACACTTTCAACCTGATAGCATGGGTTTTCCCCCAAGGGTAATGGGTTCCCCTGAGGTGTTAACTCTATTGTTGGAATCTAGTTATTCCAGGCTAGGCAAGGTTACTCCACCCATGATTTCAGCAGGTCTTGAAGCACACCACGTGTTCAACGCTCTCCTGGGCACCAAGAAGTAGAGGCATTGGTAAAATCTCTGATCTCTAGGATCCTAGTCTCCTACAGAGACACATAGATAAAGGAACCCTGGTCATCCCTGGGGTGAGTCTTAGATGAGACACATATATGAGGTATTGTCGAGCCAGGGAATGCATCCAATTCACATGGAGTGTGCTAGTAGGGGCACCCTCAATACAGAGAGCATATTCAGAGTGGTCAAGGACAAATCAGAACTACTCGATAATGAATGAATCTTTTAGATAGAGGGCAGTGCATTCAAAAAAAGCCAAAAAGAAACCCTGCTTTCTCCTAGGTACAGGATCAGCCTGGGATGAGGAATGAAGCAGGGAAGTTTGTAGGGCTCATGCCCAAGGAGCCAACCACACTACACTAAGGAATTTGGACATAGGTTCTGAAGATAAGTAGACTCTGTCAGACTTGCATTTTAGAAGGATCTGAAGTCAAGAAAATCCCACGATAAACACTTAATGAGCCCATAAAGGAAGTCACTCTTGCTCTCTCACATCACTGCAATGGGGGGAGAGGGGGAGAGCAAGTGGCACAGCTTCTTTACCGTGCAATAACCAAGGAGGAAGGCAGCCTTCCTCACCGAGGGGAGAACTTCATTTTCAAACTTTCTCAAAGAGGCTGAATTCCCTGTCATTCCAGTGACCTGCTCAGAATTCAGGAAATATAAGCTAGATGGTTCACTCTGCATTTCACAATACCTGGTTCAGCTGGCTAATGTACGGCTAAAGGGTGTCTGGTGAAAGTGTGCTTGTATGTGCGCATTGTCTGTTGATGCGAATGGCCGGTTGATTCAGAACGCACTACATTTATTTGCCAGCTGTGCCTTATGTGTGCTTATTCCGACCAAGTGCAAGCCATATCACTGTAGCAGAAGGCGCCACAGCAGTTGAGATTAGATCTCTTCTAGGGCTGTCGAGGTGGCTCTGGCAAAGGTACTTGGCACCAAGTCTGACGACCCGGGTTTGATTCCTGGGACCCACAAGATGGAAGGGGACAACTGATTCCTGTTAAGTTGTCCCATGACCTTCATGTGCTCCATTTCAGGCTTGAGTACAGATGTGTGCATGCAGTCACATGTCTGCACACTAAATAACTGTACCAAAAAAATAAAAATAAAAAAAGGAACTCTTTTTATAAATAAGACCGGGTTCATTGAAGAGCAGTACAGCTGATGATATGAAATACAAAGGAACAACTCTAGGCGGTTGTTCTGGTCTTGACTGGGCTACGGCAGTCTACATGAAGCTATCCCAGTGCCAGTAGGAAACAGATGTTCTGATCATTGTTTCCAAAGGAAAGTGGAGGTGTGTTGAAATGGCATGTATCATGTGGTTCAATGAGACTTAGAAAAAAGGCTCATGATGGAGGCTCTATATGCAGCAGGGAGGAGTAGCGTGGAATCGACTTGAAAGACAGAAGGTAAAAAAAAATCCTTAGATCTGGACACGGGGGACAGAAAGCTCTTCTCTTACAGGCAGATGCTGCTGCCCCTCCCTATGTGAAGTTACCTTGATTAATTTCCCTGAATGTCAGTAAAGGAAGCCAGGACTTGTGGGACTGCCTGCAATCCTATCACTTCAGGGGCACAGAGGCAGTAGAATGACTGCTAACTCTTCACATGGAGTTCCAAGCCAGCCAGACAAGGCGATATCTCAAGGGGGGTGGGAGGGGATGTCAGTAAAGGGCATCGGCAGAAGTAAGTAGTGCTAGGCCCCACCCCACCCCCATTCAATGCATATTTGTTTTAAGAACTGATTTGCTAACTTGTGTTGGGGTTGGGCAGAGGCAGGAGGATCACATATTCAGACCCTGTCTGTGTTACAGACTGGGTTCAAAGGCCAACGTGGATAACTCAGCTAGGTCTTGCCTCAAAATGAAAAAAAAAGAGAGGGGGGTGGGGAGGTTGAGGCTGTGGCTCAGTGATAGAGTGCATGCCTGGAATGCCGGAGGCCCGAGATTCAATCTCCAGCACTTCAGGGAGAGAAAACAGAGTTGATTTGCAGCTAACACATGGTGGCCTTCTCTCTGATTCGTGCATTACTCAGATGGTCCTGGCTTCCTAGAATTCTTAATACAATTCCAGAAATTTTCAGAAGCAGTCATCACATATGAATCTTCTTTCAAAGTGACTCTTGTAGCTTTCCACAAATGACCTGACCTATCTCTAGCCTCTCCCAAGTCCAACCCACCTAGATCTCTGAGGGAAAATTTACATTCTTAAAACAATGCTTTGGTTAAGTTCCTCTTTGCAAAGCCTTTTACCTCCCCCTGTGTGGTGCTTTCAAATTAAGTCCAACAGTGAAGGCCAGGTAGAATCCCCCAAGCCACGTTAATTTGGAGCACTGCCACTCTTGCTTACAAGGCTACATGGTCCCCTCAGTGTTGCAGAAATAGACAGGAGGCCCTCATTCTCCCCACACTAGTTTGTTTGTAGACTAGCAGCCTGAAACCCTCCATCCCTCACTATTGGCCTTGAAAGAACATTCCTGAAGGTGGTCAACTAGGTGCAATGGAAGCCCGAACTCCTGCCCACACACCCTGACTATTCCTCTCCACCCCTTTCAGGGATTGCTTGCATATCTGACTTCCTAGTGAAGGAGATGCTTTTCCTCACCCGGGATAGGGGCCACTCTCTAGCCTTGAGCACAGCAGAGGGAAAATCCCAAGCCCTGGGAAGATGCTTGGCACACTTTGGGCTCCCAACAAACTATCTTTTGATGGCTTCGGAAACATCCGAGATATTCGACTTTATTCACTTAAGAATACTGTTACCCACCCCCCACCCTTTCTTCTCCAGGCCAGGGACTTTCCCCTTCATCCCCACCTGCCCCAGGCAAGAAAAAAAAAAAAAGTTCAAATATCTTTATTTTTATTAAAATTGGCTTTCATATATAAGAAACAAAATTTCCTTTCTAATCCTGTAAGAAAGGAGAACTTCCCAAATCTCTCTCCCTCAATTCTACCCAGCATTGAATTTCAGCTTGAAAAGAACTGATCAGGATCTTGTCTTACTTAAATAAAACTTTGTATCTTCTCTGAAGGGCTAGACCGCCACCAAAATCCCCATTCAAGACAAATGTTTGTTGTGAAATGAGGTGTCAGGGCGAACTGTCTACAGGCACAATACAAAGATATTGGGCTAGAAAAGAAAAGAAAAAAAAAAAAATCAACGTGTCTAACCCCCAATTAGACCTTAGTCTAGGGGTGACAAATGCGACTTAGCCACCCCTGTGTTCTCTAAGCTGTTGATTCAGGGACTTTTCGAGAACTAAAATGCCTCCTTTCATGAACCTTGCCGTCTGTCACCCTTCACTCACTAAAGAGTGTGTGTCCGATTTGTTTATCTGAGTGAGATCTCTGTCGCGCTCAGTCAGTCATCTCGTTCAGCCACCGACAGGAGCACGTTTCCTTAAATCAGAGACCCGTGGACTCTACAGGAGAACTACATTACCCATCGGGCCTCGCGCCCTTCGCAGGAAGGACGTCTGCGCACTAAGATA